ATATTGTTTAGATCAGTTGAATAGTTATATAATAAAACTAGATTTATTGTCACTAGATTTTGAATTCATGTGATTGAAGCAATAATATGTATATAGGCATCTATATCTCCTTTCCAATCACTATGGGCTACACTTGCAACAAATCATATTTAATCATGAATAGTACATGTGGCATTAAAAACACGAATCAGAGATCTTAATCCATGATAAGGAAGAAAATTCATTAGACACTAGCACAAATATTGTCTTTGGAAGCTTTGCAAGACCTTTTAGTCTAATTTAATACTTGTATTACATTATATGATATCGATAATAGTCACAATACGAATTAATAAGGAGCAAATCCTAATGAATAATGCCAATTAATTACCCCTAAAATTTTCATATTTTTAATATTTATTGTACAGATTTATACTTTATGCCGTTATGGTACTACCTTACTCCGATTTTTTATTTTCGTATTTAATTAGATTTCGAATAAAAATATATGCATCAATTGTCGTGTGTATGCATGCATAGGTATAATTAGTTTAAGTGTTTAACTTTAAAATATTAATCCGTACATTGTAGTATTCCTTTATCTACATACTGAAAAGGTGTAACTTTATCAACAACAAACAAATAATGAACAAGGTTACTTTAAAAAAAAACAAATAATGAACAAGGTTAAGAATAAAAAGTAAAATGTAGGAGTATAAATTATCAAATCAATTACTCCCTCCGTCCCGCTTTCTTTTTTTGGATGTCTCAAAAAGAAGTTTTTCTTTCCCTAAATGGAAAGTTATCCTACATCAAAACAGTGTCAAACAGTGGCAAACTGTGTCAAACAGTGTCCAAACAGTGTAAAATTTACTCCCTGATAAGTTTATTTTCTTAAAATGTGTGTAGATGAGTAGATCAAACCGGGAACATCCGAACGGGACGGAGGGAGTATATAGAAGTATATGATTGCATTTTATTTTCTAGTTTTGAATGCTCAAACGGTCAAACATATACTAGTATATGCCAAGGTCACCCAGTGATGAAAAATAACTATAATACTTTTTGATTAATTTATGTCAGTGTTTATCATTTATCTATGTTCAAACTATTTAATTACTCTTGTTGAGGTATATTATCCCGGCCTACTACTGTTCAAGGGTCCAAGATATTACCCCAGTTCAGAGCCCGGATGGCGGAGGCCATTCCAAGCTTCCTAGGCCTGTTTCGGCCTTTGGGCCCATTGCGGCCCATTAGGGTAGGTTCTCCCCTACTCCCTTTCCCCTATAAATATGGGGTTTTCCCACATGTTTAGGGATCCTTTTTTCCTTGGCTTATTCTTCTTCCTTCTCTCTAGCTAGCTTACAATACTCCATGAATGGGAGCTCAATACCTTGTAACTTGTAATGGTGAGGAGAGATTAATGAGAATGAGAGGGCTTGGACATTAGCCTAAAAAGTCCCGTGGTTTTCTCCCTTTCGGATTTCCACGTAAAAACTGAGTTTGTTCATACACATTTATACATATATTCACTATATCGTGTTGGATTAAACTCAACACTGGCGCCGTCTTGGGCCATTAACCCAACAACTCTGTATGATGATTTAGGATGTTTTTTTGAACTATTTTCATTCCCAAACCAAATCAAACTTAAACAAATCAGACCAAATTTGGAAAATTATAAAATACAGATACCAGACCAGACCAGATCAAACTTAAACATACCAGACCAAACTTGGAAAATTATAAAAAATACACAGAGACCAGACATTTACCAAATTAGACTTAAACAGACCAGACCATCAAATTTCAGTCCAAAAAAACACCCTAACTCATACTAGTATCGTCAATATGTATATTAATTAGCCATCCTCAAATATACTGCGTATGATATCATACTCCGTATGATTTGTAATGTAATGCAGTAGTAACCTTTTATCATACCTTTTATAGTAGGTGTTTTTTCACATACGAAGTAACTACGTTAAAGTTTCTAGTATATTTTCTTTGATGAGTTTTACCTCAGCACTCTTTCTTATTTTTTTTAAATTTATAACACAAATACCCCTTAAAGTTATTTCTAAATGATTCATTTGCATCCATCTGCATGTCAAATACGCTGTACTCATTAAATTCACAATTACCGGCCCATACCACAGTTCTGGTTAGTAGTAATCAGACGTCATTAAACCAGTTCAGAACATAAAACTACACCTCCAAGTGAAATCATTGAGAGAAGAGGTCCCTGATCAAGAGGATGATAGGGCTCCCGATAATCCAGAACAATTGACAAAACAAAGATTAAGAATTCAAGATGAACTTTATTCGAAAGGAAGAACAGAATCAGTACAACGAGAGAGAGTATGGCCGAAGCCCCAAAATGAGCCGAAGCCCCCAAGATAGAGACGCTAATCCCTAATCTTCCCAAGTCCCAAGACAAACTGTCCAAAAAAAGCCTCCCTAACTCCTCCCAGCTCTCTTCTATTTATACTAACTAATACACTTATTGGTTTATACTCTAATAGGCCCGGTCCCTTATTATTATTAGTAGTCTATTAGGCCCGGGTTCCTAACAATACTCCCTCCCTAAACATCCACCTTGCCCTCAAGGTGGGTGATAGGACACCGCCACAATCTTTTTCTTTCCTTTCATCCTAGCACCTCTCCCTTTCCAATACTGGATGAATTTCTGGATTCTTAGCTCAGCTGCTTCCATCTTCTTCCCTATGCCTTTCAAAACAGATTTACACCGTTGCCAGGAATTTTTGTCCAGAAATTTGACTCTTTCCGAGTCCTTGGAGGTTAGGGCCCAGCCATCTGCAACACCGAGTACATCAACTTCCTGCTCTTGAACATTTCCTTCTGAAATATCGATATATAACCCATGAGAATTCAGTAATTCTCCTTCTCCTTTAGATTCATCAACCCCTTCATTTTCTTGTCAGTTTTCAGTTCTCTTAATAAAGGATCTCCGTGTATATTTGCCTTCTGCCCATGTACCTCCCATTGAATGGTCTGATTCTGAAAGTTAACTGCCATATCTCCTAGCCCAGTAAGCCATTCCATTCCTAGAACAATGTCAATACCTCCTAGCTCCAACATATAATATGTTTGTTGAATGGAAACTCCCTGCACATTCAGTCGCACTCCTGCACATTGGCCCATATTTGGAATGCAATCTCCATTTCCTATTTGTACCTTATACCCTTGAATAGGGTGATAAGGTATATTCCACCTTTCAACCAATTCTTGTAACAGAAAATTGTGGGTAGCACCACTATCAATTAAAACATTCACCATTATTTCACCTACCTGGCATGTTATTTTGCCTTTTACTTTAAAAGTTTTCATGGAAGGTATCACTTCCTTGCTTAATATGGATAGCTGCATAGTCTTGTGCTCCATTGTTTTTGAATTTATAGATGGATCCTCCTCAGATTTCCCCGATTCCCTGTCAGACATTTCCTCCCCTTCAGAATTTTCCACTAGAATCATCTTATAATTCCTCATTTTACACACATGTCCTCTTCCCCAGTTTTCTCCACATTTAAAACACAATCCCTTCTTACTCCTGTTTAACAATTCTTCTTGAGACAATCCAGGACCACTTCTATTACTGTTCTGATCTTTAACCTCCCTGTAAATCTTGCAGTCCTCATTTCCCTTAAAGACACTGATAGCACTTCCTTCGTTAGTCTTCCAATTCCTTCCATCTCCCCAATTCTGAACTTTAATCTGTGTTTTCTTCTTTCCCTCTTCTTTGTTCCTGACAAGCAAGGTTTCCATATTCTTATTTTCAATTAGGGTGGGTATGTCCATGACCTCTGCTAAAGATTTTGCATAATAGAGTTTCAATTCAGCCTTGATATCTCTCCTTAGCTCTTTCAAAAAAATACTTATCAAAACTTCCTCAGTTAGATGACCTTGCAAAGCTATGGCAGTTTCGAATTGATCACTGTACTCCTGTATGGTTCCCTTCTGTTTCAGGCTGAATAAAGGTCCTAGAGGATCCTGCACCATATTTGGCTGAAAGCGTTTGGCCAATGCTTTAGTAAATGTTTTCCAGTTTTGGCGTTGAGCTTGTCCTTCCCACCATTGGAACCAACTTAGGGCTTGGTCCTCCATCGCCACCACTGCTACGTCAATTTTATCCTCCTCCTCTGTACGATTCAATCTGAAATATCTGTTCATTCGTACTAACCATCCAAACACATCCTTCCCATTAAAAATAGGTAGGTCAATTTTTCTTCCAACTGGATGTTGACGTTTGCGATTGTGGTGCAGATCGCGAATACTGTGCGATACAGAGTGATCCGAAGGATGATCTAAATCTTCCGAAGTATCGCTGTTCTTCGTATACCGACGATGGACAGTGTGGTGCGAAGTCGTCGATTGATGTGACCTACTCCTCGATCGTTCAATCTTTTGATTCTTAATCTCAGCGAAACCAGCTTGCATCATAGCCAACAGTTCTTCGTATTTCGCGTTCGATTCGTCGATCTTCGCGTCGATCTTCGCGTCGATCTTCGCTCCCAATTCCTTCTGACTTCGATCGAAGTTCCGCTCCAACTCAGTCATTCGCCCTTCCATTTTCTTCCTTGTGCCAACCATTCACAACCACAACCATGCCAACCATTCACAACCACAACCAGGCTCTGATACCAATGATAGGGCTCCCGATAATCCAGAACAATTGACAAAACAAAGATTAAGAATTCAAGATGAACTTTATTCGAAAAGAAGAACAGAATCAGTACAATGAGAGAGTATGGCCGAAGCCCCAAAATGAGCCGAAGCCCCCAAGATAGAGACGCTAATCCCTAATCTTCCCAAGTCCCAAGACAAACTGTCCAAAAAAAGCCTCCCTAACTCCTCCCAGCTCGCTTCTATTTATACTAACTAATACACTTATTGGTTTATACTCTAATAGGCCCGGTCCCTTATTATTATTATTATTAGTCTATTAGGCCCGGGTTCCTAACAGAGGATAACTACTTTTAAAAAGAAACAAAAATTGGGCAGCAAGAACTGAACTTTAATCCAAATTGCGAAGGAAAGATAAGCAGAACTTTATTAATTATTCCCATGGTAAAGAGACTCAACCATGCACACAAAAAAAAACTCTATTGTGCCATATTGTCCACATTCATTTATAGCTTGACAAGGTCATCTATAACTAATAAACTCCCACTAGTAGAACATGGTATAGAAAACATCCTTTAAGAGTCTTGGAGAAGAAGGCAATAATACTTCCATCAATGACTGGATTTCTTGTCCTTGGGTATACCGAGCCTGGTTCGGAAATCTTCTTCCATAAGAGGAATACCATCGCGCAATTTGACCACCGGTTCCCACCCAAGCAACTCCTTTGCCTTTGTGATGTCTGGCTTTCTCTGCCTGGGATCATCGGGAGTATTCTCTACCTCTATGATTTCCACCTCTGGATTTATCATCTGACAAAGAAAACCAGCTCGAGATTTTAACGAGTTTTCAAAGAAATCATCAGCGTGTTTATCATCACACACATTGTAATTATTTAATAAGTAAATATCTATAGTAATCCATAATATATAAGAAGGTTATGGGTCAAGTTTGGGTATCCAGTACCCGTGAGTGATGATAGATGTGGGATTGGGGTAGACTCATGTATCAAAACCCGTAACTAACTGGTTTGTGATGGGTTAGGATAGTATTATAAAATGTAGGCTCCAGGAGCGGATTTTGTTAAATGGGCCAGCACCCGACTCCACTGATATCTCTAGAGGGATTGGAGGGGAAGATTTTGGATGGCTTTGTCTATATCTTGATAATTATATAGACCAAGTCCTCCAAAACCCTCCAACCAAACAGACCCTATTTCTACCGCTTGCTGATTTTAAAGGCTACCCACTGATCCATGAGTTGAGACTGAGACATAATCCAAGAAAAGTGTAAGAGATCTTACCTCCTTCACAGTCTGTGCAAGTTCTTTCATTGTGAACTCACCTGAAAGTAAGAAAACTCATATAACTATTTCCATACGGTTTAATGGTGATGCATCTTGAGAATATATGTCCTACTCCATAAAAAATCAGATTCAGACTTAAAAGACTGACCCGGATTCCCAATGTTAATTGGCCCAGTACTGTCTCCCTCCATAAGTCCAATTAGACCATCAACCTTCACCATTAACAGAACTCTCAGTGATAGATAAAAACTAAACTCAGATAAATACCTCTCCATTATACTGCCAAATTGAAATGACAAATTAAAGAAAGTGTACCATATCAGAAACATAGCAGAAGCTACGGGTCTGTGTTCCGGGCAACTGCACAGTTAAGGGTTCATTGCTGCATGACCATTACAAGAAAAAGGTAAATGTCAAAGCAACTACTCTATTACTCAGATTGGTCTTCCACGATACACTAATGCACAATTTGGTTTTCAACTCTTTTAAAGAGTCAAATTTGTCCCTAACTATGTGCAGTTTCACCTTATTGAACTCTCATACATCTTTGGTTCTAAACTAGGAGGGGTATTTTCATCAACTCACAAATTTGGTCCCTAACCCTGCCCAATTTGGTCCTCAATACGGAGTAGTATATAGTCAGAACTGAATCAGACATTAAAACTCGGTCCAGTTTTCAACCCGACCCGCACATTGGATCAATGGTCAAACTAGTTGGTCATTAATTGAACTGCATGACCAGTTGGACATGGTCTGATTGCACTGTCGATCCAATATTAGGATCGGACGGCCAATAACTCCAGTTACCGGCCTGAACCGACCAATCCCAGTTTTATAACACTAACTGAATATATTACCGAATAGCTTGAGCAATGAAGTTGCTGACAACACGACCGTCATCAATGTTCATTCTAGGTCCATAAGTGTTGAAGATTCTAGCAATACGGATTTCTGTCATTTTTGTCCACAAAAGAAAGTTAGGATATGGGAACCCTAATGAATATATATACGTGTGTGTAAGAAGGAACTTAGGGACATGAGTTACCTATTCCATGTTGCCTGTGATAATCAAACATCAAAGTCTCGGCCACTCTCTTCCCCTCATCATAGCAGCTTCTAACTCCTGAGTTCCAAATAAGAAAAACTTTTCTCCATTAACACAGGAAAGGTGGCCTAGATTAAAATTTTCAATCCAAGACTTCAAGAAAAAAATCATGAATTTCAATTATTTTATATTTTTAGTAATTTTGAATAAATTTTTCATTAAAATTTGTACATAATAATTTAATGAAGAACTTCATAGAAATTAATAAAAAAGATTTGTAAATAACAAAATGATTCAAGACTCGGTCCTAATTTGATACATTTTTATTTGAGCCGAGTCTTAAACTGATAGTTTCAATCATCCAGTCCTAAATTGATAGTACACATCTTCAAGATCCTTGATTCATTGATAGGTTATAGATAACCTATCGATCGGGAAAACTCTAAAAACGGAAAAGCGTATAATGATAGTGATTTGAAAGTTCATCTAATCATTCTTTACTTAGATGGTTACAAAGGAAAGGACAGTATGGGCAATAGGTTTTGCACAATACAAACTTTATAGTGTTAGCTAATTTTAGTGATGGACTGTAAATTATTTCACCACAATTTCAGTGATGGCTCTGATATCATGGATCAATTCAAGTTTGCCGACCCCAAAATCTTTTGGGAATAAGGCTTGAATGTTGTTGTATTGTAAATTATGTCACCAAACCCTATTAGTTGGGATTAAGATTAGAGTGGTGATGATGATTAACAACACAACCCTAAAGACTTGGTCTATGTTGACATAATAATCAACAGTTTGATTACCAATTGGATTAACATTGCCCCAATAGCTCTCGTCCTGAGGGTGCACAAGAGGATCTCCATAAACCTCTGAAGTTGACGTCAGCAGAATCCTGTAATAGGCACAGACACACAGTTCATACCGTAATCAGGATCACCATATAAACTAAGGGTGTATTCGGATGAAATATTTCGGATGGGAAGATTTTGGAGAGTTCAGTCTTGGAATACCCTAAGGATCTGTTTTGTTTTGAACGTAAAAAAGATGGCCGGGTTTTATAAGATCACATATTAAGTTAAATCTTTCATTTTTTATGAATTCTCAAATAAATGACGAGTGTAAGTTGATACCAACCTTGCTCCAACTCTCTTGGCAAGCCCCAACATGTTTAATGTCCCAATTACGTTTGTCTTAATTGTCTGCATAGTCAAATCCAAAAGAAACAAGAAGATCATAACTGTGACTTAGCTGCCCAACCTATCGAACACAACTACTACACTTGAATAAAGTAACCTATGTTTACACTTCTTACTCTCTATATTATAAAATAGTACAAGTAAAATTAGCTTCATAGGGTTTGAAGTGGATCTTTATGTTCCCCACTTCTCTTTTCAACCAAATCTACTCTCCATATTTTCTTTCCCTGAGCACTTTCAAAGTTCTACGTCAGACTCATTACCCAAACAAGACTATCTCCAAAGAGGAGAGAGAAGTTGAAAGGGGGTGAAACTTGAAGCACTTACCATTTGAACCTACATGTTTTCAACTTTTCTCCATTTTTCCTTTCTTTTTTTTTGAACTCAAGTGCTCTAAAACCCGCACTTTCTTATATGCTTCTTTTTTTCATATTTCTCTATTTTCCCAAAGCATAAGTTACTCTTCCAATGTAGTAGAGCAGAGATGTATCTAACACAATAGAGTAATCTTGCATGTAGAGTGTTATGATAATCCGAACTTGAGCAAATTTAGTTTAAAGGTGGTATAACAATTACTCCAACACCCCACTCTATAATTCACACATTCTTTCTGGAACTCCACTAATGCTGTCTACTTCCCTACTTACCCTTGTTTGAATCGTGAAATGGTGTATTAAACAACCCACCCAAGTTTCCCTGCCAAAACCCGACTTCTAAGAGGGTAAATTTGGAAAATGATCATTAAAATTTGTTTTCATAGTATCAGGGCAAATAGCAATTAAAATAGAGAGCTTGAGACTATTGAACTTGGAAGAAGGGAGTAACAAATACTTGTATGCCTCGTAAAACAAGAGAGTGCCCAAAATTAATAATAAAACCAAGGCAGACATAACAAGATTACTGGTATTAACCAACCTTAACAGGATTGTATTTGTAGAAAATGGGGGAAGCAGGACAAGCAAGATGATAAATTTGGTCAACCTCCACCAACAGTGTCTCTGTGACATCTGCATTACAAAAGAAAATGGAACAAGTAAAAAGGAAAGTAAATCAAGGATGGTATGAAAATACTGAGACATGAAAAACAAAAAGTATTTACCATGGCGAATAAGCTCAAATCTTGGATGGCCAATCCACTGTTTGAGGTTATCCTTTGATCCAGTGAAATAGTTATCCACAACAATAACCTGTTTTTGAGGTGAAATCCTACCATAAGTTACCCACAACACTGGTTTTATACAATTACTTTACATATTTTTCCAAAATAATTATTACTTCTGACTCCATTGAACCAAACATGGGACAGTATTCTCTTACTAGCCCCCCCCCCCATCCCCTGCCCATCGTTTGAACCCAACCAGAACTATGCCTCTGAACGGTCCCAAACATTAAACGAACAATCCAAGCCAGCCCAGAAACCAAGTACCTCATTCTTCTCATTCTGCATAAGCTTGTCAACAAGGTGAGACCCAATGAAGCCAGCGCCACCAGTTACCAAAATCCTCATGTTTGCCTAGTATTACAATGTAGAAGATGAAAATAAGAAATTAAGACATTTGACAGATTTCATGAGGGAAAGAGTCCAAAGTATATTGAATATTAACAAAATATGAATTTGGAAACTGTAAAATTAACTAGGTTCTACCTGGAAAAATTTGGCCTTTCTCAAAGGTGAAGGCTCTGGAGGGGGCTTTGTTCCATTGGTAGCCATTTGTCAAATCACTCACCTACGAAACAAGACCAGATTTTCATAAGATTCAAATCAATTACCAAGAATGATTCAATTAACTCCTGAAATAAAAGAAGAAAAATGCATTTTTCATGATCGACTAATGCAGTAGAAGATCTTCCAAACGAAGGTTAACATTTACTTCAAACATACTCCTTAATTTGATTTGTAAGGACAAATTATTTATCACCTAATTGTTTGTAAATGGTAGAAATGTCTGAATAAGGGTGCAATACCAATGCAAGTATTTATAACGATCCAGAGAACAGCCAAAAAATGGAAAAAATATGATTGCTGATTTCCAGAACATACTCAAAATAATTTAGACAAAAAATGATAAAGGAAATCGTGAAGGCAGCGTAAAGTGGAAAAAAGAGAAAGAAAGTGAAGTGTGATCTAAGCTTCATGTAATAACAACCAAAAAGAAAGCAGACCCACATAGAACTGTGCAGATCTGAACCTAAATTCCTCCAAAGATTAAACCTTTATCCTATAGACAGTGATGGTTCAACTTATATTTATATAAAAAACATTACCGACTAAAATATCTGAAAGAATCGATGATGATATGATGAACCCTGATAAGATTTCAAACTTTTGGAGATAATTTAGGACCAAGTGATCAATTATGCGTGTATATATATACCCACAGAAGACGTGTTCTAGTAAAGGATGAATTACTATTGTAACCGTAGATTTCGAGATTTTGACTGACTAAATATGGAAACTTTTATCCTCCTGGTAGATAACAGGTCGACGTGGTGTCTGGTGTTGGTTCAATGTCTTGTTTTGCCCTTTGAGCTAAAGAAAACGAGATACATCATCTGAACAACGAGTTTACACTTTACAAGGTCGCTTGTAATATTAACGTCATAAATAATTTCTAAAGAAGGCTAGAGAAAATCAGAAAATCGTGAATAATGATATGCCTTCAGATTAAAGGATAAACTCTACCACGTAAGCATCCAGTCAGTGTTAATAAATGCATCCAAATGATAAAATAGAAGGCGACAACTCTGGTACTCTGAGTACCATAAAATCTACCTCTAAAAAATATGGTACCGTACCTACCATTCATTTGATTGAACCACATCATTTTATCATTTTTAATTAAGATTTAAATAATTTAACTGCTATATTCTCATTGGTCCATGTGGACAAAGGTATGGTACACGATACTGAACTACGGTAATATATACCGTACACCTAGCTGTACCTGGGTATGGTACAGCCGGTTTTTTTGTAATTAAATCCAAGTTCAATGGTAAAGGTTAGGTTAATGCATGTTGCTGCTTTTCTTTTCCCCCACTGCTCGTCCGCCGATTTTTTTCTTTTTCGTTGATGGCTGCTACGGACTACCAGCACCAAACTCGGGAAATACCTCTCATGCACTATGGCTTTACTCCGTTTTTTTTTCTTTTTGGTTTTCTCTTTTTCTTTTTGTTGCTTTTCACTTTCGTTTAATCGTTTCTTGCTTTTCACTTTTTGGTGGCTTTTCATTTTTCATTGTTTTCAGTTTTTGTTTTTTCTTGTTTTAGTTATTTCTTTTCTTTATTTTTTCTTTAACATGCTTTGATATTTTATAAGTTATATGCTCATTTAGATTTGTGTAATGCTAATTTCAAAATGTGATATCCATGCGTATTGGTGTAATGCTCATTTAAATTTTTTCACTACTCATTTCGTAAGCTATATATGCTCATTTAATATTCGAGCATTGAAGGGATTTTGAATGAGCCTTCTGAATTTTTTTATACTCATTCGTCAAGTGAGTATGCTCATTTGATATTGGTGTACTATTAGACTCAATAAAGGGGGTTTGATACTCAAAGCAAATATCTTGATACTCAACTAAAAAATTATGATTTTCATATTAATGCTCTTTTTGTAAGTTACACATGCTCAGGCAGTACTCATATTATGCTCATTTTAAAATGTTCTCCCAATGCATATTTAAAAAAGTATCATACTACATTAGATTCACATATGAAAGTTCATAGGAGTTTAATATAGGTACAATTTAATGAGTTTTTATAAAAGAAAAAAATAAGAAAAAGAAAGTGAATTACAATATATGAAGTTGATATCACAATATTCATAGTTCGACTCTTAATACTCAGTAGAATACGTCTAATACTCATTAAAAGTGTATTAATGCTCATCTAATGAAAATCGCGTTTTTTACTGAAATTACAAAAATGTCACCGTTTTTTATTTGTGATATCAGCTTTTGTGTAATGACACAGTACTCATTATTAGACTATTAGTACTCATTAAAATTGGACTACTGCTCATTAACATGACACTAATGCTCATCTAGCATAAATCATGATCTTCACTAAATTTACAAAATTGCCACCGGCTGTGCGGTTTGCACTCTTTCTTGTTAATAAGCAGTAGTCCAATTTTAATGAGTACTATGTCATTACACGAAAGCTGATATCACAAATAATGAGTACTGCGTCATTACACGAAAGCTGATATCACAAAAGTACCATACAAAACGGGAAACATACTCTTTCTTGTACGGTACGCACCCCTGAATTACAGATAAAAAGAATATTTTGACTCAAAATATTTTTTTTTAAATAGAAATTGAATGCGGGAGTATCTTTTATATACTCTGTATAAGTGTTTATGTTATTGAATCAAAATGTGTGGAAAAGTACTACCTCAATCTTTTTAGTTAGTCATCCTTAAAATATTTGGGTGAAAATAATTAGTGTTTTTTTGAAAGGGTGAAAATAATTAGTTTGGTTAGTCATGTTAGCAATTGTATCTTAGAAAAATCCTAAACTTTATAATTTTATTCATTAAAAAAAACTTTATAATTTTATGATAACTTTTAATTAAAACGTTTTCGCTTCATTTTCTTATTATAAATATTTTGTATACGCCAAATTTGTAACGCCATTATACAACCCCTCAGGGTTAAAGGTGAGAGGCGTTACAACCCCTCTCACCTTATAAAATACTACGTATATTTTCGATCAGTACAGTGTCTTTCTGGAAAGGTAAAAAAAGACTAATTAAAAAGAGAACAATTTTATGATCACCTAATTACAAAACCAGCAAATATTTTTAACAAATTCTCAGAAAGCTCAAATATAAAAATTACATCACAATGATCGATGTGTTATCATGTGTAAATGTGTTAGGTTTGAACTTGGAAGTGAAGGACAGATGTTTTATGTGCAGCGATGAAAACGTCACGGCAGATTGAGGATGCTTTCTTTGGAACTATTTTCAGTCTCAGATAAGATCAATTACCAGACCAACTCAGACCAGTTCAGATCAAACAAGATCAGATTAGACCCGATCAAACTATCAAATTTCAGTCTAAAAGAAAACATCCTAAATTGGACAGAAATTTTGACACAGTAAATTATACGATGGTCTACGCCATCAACCTGTATGACAATATAAGTGTCATAATTAAAAATATTTCTAAACAAAATAATTGCATTTATTTAGATACTCCGTATAACATTTGATTAATTTTTTCTCCTAAAGCCAACATTTCGGCAACTTCAGCCTAACCCAGTAACCCCTATGTGGTTATGTAACATGGAAACTCTCAAGAAAAAGTATGTTTCCTGTTTCGGAAACTCTCGAAAACTCTTTGGAAACTCTCCAAATAAGCCTTTTTTGAATAAAAGATGAGTGTGGCAGAGATGCGCATGCTGCGTTGGATGTGTGAGCATACTAAAAAGGACCGCGTGAGGAATGAGACAATCAGACAAAGGGTGAGAGTAGCACCTATTGAAGATAAGATGCGGGAGTCGCTCCTACGGTGGTTTGGTCATGTGCATAGAAGACCGAGTGATGCACTTGTCAGACGAGTTGAGATGTGTGGAGAAGAGGCAGGAAAGAGAGGGAGAGGGAGAGGAAGACCCAAACAGACGTGGGTTAGGGGAGTAAGAAGTGATATGCTTCTTCTTGGATTGGATGAGGGTATGACTTTGGAGAGAGCAAAATGGAGGGCGGGTATTCGTGTGGAGGAGTGATCTTGTATCATCTTTTCCTCTCTTTTTTCTTCCTCTTTTTTTTTTCTTTTTCTTTTATATTTTTATCCTTGTATATAAATATTACTTTATCCTTTTTATTTTATCTTTTATATGTATATTCATCTCTTTTATATTATCTTTTTTTATAATAGCTTATCTTTTTTATCTTTATTTTCTTTCTTTTCCTTTGGTGATATCATGTATCGATTCATGTTAGCCGACCCCAATATCGTTTGGGACTAAGGCTTGGATGTTGAATAAAAGTTGGCATTTCCTGTTTCCCGTTTCCTCATAATTTTTGAGTTTCCGTGCAACATAGCCTAACCCATTATCAGAGGTGGAACAGGTGAGGGGCCTCAACCCTCTCAGAAAAAAATTATGATGTATATACATATTTATAAATTTTTATAAACAGTATAGTAAAATTTTAAACCTCGACCCCCAACATAAATCTACCACGGTCGACTATTACAGGTTTACCAAGCAACAACACACGCAATCCACTAATCTACTTCCACTATTCTACACAAGCATAAAAACGAGTAGTTCAACATTGCAGGATTAACAAGCACATGAAGAATGAAGGCATTATCATCATTATTATTATTATTTAAAAAGGTGATGATAGCAAAGATAGTATACTAATCACTACAGCGAAAAATAGGGAAGAGACTAACAAGAAGAATAACATGTACTCTCCAGTAGACAGATGGCACCCTAATATTCTGAATTGTTAGTTCCCAAAATCATGGCAACTAAGATCCAAAGCATAACTACACCTATGATAATGATCTTTATAAGTGGTTCCTTCGTCAGAGGATAAAACCTAGGATTCATGTAAGAAACTGTTTGACCGTGAAATTCAGGGGTGTTGTCATTGTCGTCATTGGAGTTGTGTGCAGTGGAGGAAGAAGCTGTCAACTGGATTTCTTCAACAGTGACCTCTGGAATCCTTTGAGGCAAACATTTTGAGCACGAGCAATTTCCACCAAGGAAGATAGGGACCGACTCCAGCTTCTTTGAGAGATACTCCTCATAGTTCCTTCCTATGATCTCAACTTTCTTCCTAGTGGCTGGTCTCAGAACCTGCATCCATAAAACTTTGCATTGTAGTCTCTGTTTGATTGCAGGGAAAGAAGTAGTTGCAAGTTGAGAATGTTTTGATCATGAAAATATGTTTATTCTATATATGATATGGTATAATAATTTTAATCTATAAAAATAGAAAGTGTCATGTTGATTAAGAATTGATCTTCTTTTTTCCGGAAGAGTCTTTTCAAACCCTGAAAATACTAGAGAAGTATAATGGAAGGAAAACACTAGGAAATTGGAATGCCAGAAAAGATAAGGTGAACACAAAATAAAGTAGGTTTTGCCTTGGTTATTTTTCTGGAAAGGATTTTACCAAATTCTTTTCTTTTTTAGAAGCTTAAGCACTCTCAATCATTTTGGCCAAATATCATTTGCGAAATAGGGCCGACCCCCATATCTTTTGGGACTAAGGCTTGGATGTTGTTGTACCATTTGTGAAATGGGCTCTAACATAGTTTAGCTATTTTTATACATGTTCAGAAAATCTATGTATATGAACCAATAGTCCAATAGTCATCAACTATAAAGAAGTATAATGTTTTTTATATTCCCTTTTTCAGGTAATTAAGGAAGGAAAGGTCACAAAGGTTTACAGAAATAATAAGTTTACCTGGAGAAGAGTCTGCATTATTACATGGGCAACACGAGGAATGCGTATGACCATCAATAAGTAAAGATGGTTAGGATAATGGTCTTGGAGAAGGGTGGCACAAGATCTCATCATCTGGATAGGGAACCCAAGAGGCGACAGTCCATCACAATCCATTAACACCACAATCTGAGGATGCTCTGTATCAACAAAACTCACAACTCCATGTTCTATCTGTGAAACTGAATAGTAAACAAGAAATCACTTTAGTACACTTCACTTGTCATGACAATATTTTCCATATACGGTAAATTGAAAGAGAGAACAAATATCTTACAATGATGATTTTGAAAATTTTCTCATTGTTCCTTCACTAGAAAGATAAGGCATCAGGTAAAAAATGCCACTATGTTTTTTGCATGAATTTACAGTACTAAATAATTTTTTACAATTAATTGACAATATGTTTCCCTCTTGCATATGAGAAGAGATAATCATTCTTATCCTATTGCTACCTCAAATTTGTTTCGTTCAAAATCCTACACCATACGTAGGTCAGCTAAGTACTCGTAAATTATGAGCCCGTTTGGTAACACTAATATTGGCAGCATCTACTAGAATTGGTAAATTTCTGGCTGAAGAGGATGAATCTGCTGAATTGTGAAAAAAAATATTAAAATTTATTTTAATCATTAAAATAAAGAAAAAGTACATGAAAAATAGCTAAATTGATCCACTTCAGCAATTTCACCCAATTCAGTTACAAAAGTAACTCCAACCTTGCTTATTTTAATTATTGCACAATTCAGCGCTGTAAATCAAAAGTCAGGTGTTTGGTAAAAGTTGGCTGATAAGCCGAATTGTAATCTTATAAGAACAGCAAAATTCGAGTCTGTGCAAACTCCATAAGTATTAGATACTACTACTATCATTCTATGAGAGTTACCAGTTAACTTCTTCTGCAAACTTTGTGTGATTATTCGTTGATATAATTTCAAACATATGAGGCACAAACTTTCTGATACTAATTAGTAAAAACTGACTAAATTGAGAGTCCAGATTAGGACTTCTTGCCTAACACGCTCCATACAGTATATCCTTCCGTTTATCAAACTTACCAATATGACCAGACTTCAAGCAAGTATGAGTTGTTACTGGTAAGAAACTAATAAAGATATTTACCAATAACTTTTCCTAAAATGTGTCTCTCAGTGGATTTAAGGTTGGAGCAAGCAAGTCCGAGTCGAATGATGAGACAAGGAAGTTTCCTTGAATCATATCCATGCCAAAAGATAACATTAGACCAAGCACCTAGCTCTTCTGCTGAGAGGAAAGTGTAACTCTGCCTCCACTGAATTGTCTTCTTGACCAATGACATGGTCCTTTGAAAATCGCCTCTAGTTGAAGCATAAAAGCGACGAATGTAGTCATCATCAATCCTAACAAGACAGCACCACGGAATATCATATAAGATGAAATATGGATAACATAGCTGATGCATGCATATTTTTGTAAAAAATAACCGAATGGTATCATTATTATTATTATCATCATCACCACCACCACCACCATCATAATAATAATACAGACCAATGGTCTTGGAAAGTAAATGGCAATACAGCTTTTTACAGATAAAGTATAAGACTATAGTATGCAGTCATATACAACTATAAACCCTAGGGTTTAGCTCATTACACTTGGGGACCATTAATTTACCGATGTAAGCAGCATTTAAGTATTCAAAAAAATAAAGTTGCCAGGAAAAATATCAATAAAACCAGTAGTTTGTTATTCAATATTTACATGCACATACAGTCAAGTGAAACAAGATTGCTTGTTTATGCCCATCCATTACAAAAAAAAATCACTACAGGGGGTTGTAATCACCTCTCAGGTAGAGTAATATCTTCCATTTCGAGCTTGTTATGGAGGGCAAGCAACCAATTTTCAGAATGGTAAACATCTGGCCCATTGTGATAGCAGCTGAAATAGAATCATAATCTCAAGGTTATACAAACAGCCTAAAACATTGATTCACCTTATTCAGACTGAATAAAGAGAGCTTGCAAGCAATTTGCAGATATGCACCTCAAATTGATTACCTTGTCTCTGAAAGCTGTAGCTGAGATTTAGGTGTTCGAGAAACATTAGAATCATATGACGGGTCTTCACTTGGTGACGAGTCATCGGAGAAAAGTGTTGCAATTGAAAGAAATAACATTGGTCCAGAGATTTTCTGGCAAAATAAACAGGACTTCACAACATGAGCATTATATGGGAATAAAATATATACAGGGAAGATGGATCACAATAGCAGGTTATGTTTGAAAGATAATATCATGTATTGAACAGGAAATCACATAGGTAGTAACTATGACGTTGCAAACAAAAGATCATGAATAAGACAGCCCTATTGCTAAAACTTCCCAAGAAGTAGGCCTGAATAGTACCCTAAGCCCTTATCAGATACGGAGTATCAATTAAAAATACTCCCAATACTCCAATCATTAAACGCTTTTTTGTCCCAAAAAAGTACTCTAAGATCAAATGAAGACGATTTTTCAACAAATTTGCAAAGTAACGAATAAATTTAATTTGATATGTTTAGCTAAATCATTAAAAGTAATAGGTATCTGACTTATCACAGTTGTAATTTCCCAAAAATTAAAGGTGTACTTTGGTCAAACGGGATTCTTAATATGGGACTTGGGGACTGTATAGCTAGGTGAATAATGACCTTTGCTTACATCAATATATCTGGTTTAGAAAAAATTAAACATATATCAAACATTGGCTAAATTTCTAGTACATAACTGATAACCACAACCTTTCCGTGGATCAAAATACTATCTGAAAGACTGAAATTCAACTTCATCCTGTTTTTTAGGTCAACACAACAATAGATGATTCTTAAGGTTGGAACATGATAAATTTGTTTAGTAGATCAAAGCAGCTAATCAATAGTTAATAAAAAATGTTATTGTTATAAGAAAGATACCCCTCTGTCCCAAAAATGTGTCCCAATTGGTCAAGGCATAAATTTTTTAGTGTCTTATAATTTTGCAGCATCAACTGCCATCAAGTTAAACTCCAAAGTATATATATTTATGAAAATGCTAAGCAAATACCTAAATGAAAAGTCTCCACTGTCTTAATATAACGAGTGAAATGCACAAACCTCAATGGGGGGATCCTATGGACACTATACATCATAGAATGAGAAACCAACCTGCATTTCTTTGGCTAGAGGCTTGAAAGGAATCCATTTCTGCATCCACTTCAACGGTGGATAACATATAGCTTGTAATGCCTGGAGGCCATTCCAAATGAAAGGACACTTTGACTTGGAGAACCTCCTCAGAACTTCTAAAGCAGCAGTTGTGATAAAAAACATAACAACATTATCCACAGCTCCACCAGTTCGTACACATTTCTTGACTGATGTAATGCACTTCAAAGCCTTCGATGTAAAGTGCTCAGAGGCTGTAGTAACTAAATAGTTTTTGGGTAACTTTTTTCTATTACTTATGACCCCCACATTCAATCTCTGTGTTGCGTTTGAGTGTGACTCAAGCGACGTGTCTCCCAAATCTCGGTCCATTGAGTGCTTATGAGGAAAAGTTTAACCTTAAAGAATCCACCACTTCTCTACACATAGTAATCATCCACTGATCCACCAACCTGTAAGCGAAATAAACGATGACTGAAAAGCTTAGAAATATCGCCCAAACAGCAATCACGAACTACAGCCGAAGATTCGCGCATACGAAAAAGGGGGCGAAATTGACTCAAACTACAGCTGCTTGAATTTGGTAAATACGTTATCTAGATTTACTAAACTCGGAAGGGGAGAAATTGAATTACGTTATCCAAATAATAAATGCTAAGATTTAAATCGATCAATTTACCTTAACCAGCGGCCTATATCAGCGAAAGAGCACTCATCCGAAAATTTTACCCTTTTTCCATTTGGCTTAACGAATCTTAACACAATAAGGTTGTGATCGGGAGCGTATCCATGCTAGGGTTTAAAAGGGGGAGAGAAGACAAGACTTGGCTCCGGTAATTTTCCAGACCAGATGATAATGATATGCTCCGTGTTTGTTTGTTGGTTACAGAATTATATTTTCATTTTCTTGAGAGAGAAACGATCAACGGTTGATAATGGAGGGGGAAATTCACGTGTTTGTCGTTGCCGCCGCTCTCTGTTTTTATAACTCGACCTACACACTGACGTGGTAACGTATTCGCAGCTTATATTATGCGTAGAATTATCAATTTTAAATGAGAAACTACTCCAAATAGAAATTAAATTAAATAGGAGTGATTAATTCTCTACTTGTTTTGTTCTTGAAGACTTTTATACTAAGCGAAGGTGATGAGGTTTGTACTCTGACCACGTTTGGCTCATGTAAACCCAAGATAGGATTAACGAATCATATTACTTTGCATGACGTGATTGATTCTCCAGCTGGTTCGAGGGTCGGTGGACGGAAGTATTTACTTTATCAGTATTATCCCTTGCTGAGTGTTTCATTATCAATATAAGTCTCCTAGTCACAAAAAAAAATGATTAATTTTTATAGAATTATCCCGCCAAAAAATATAGAATTATATAAGTAGTTAAAGTTTCATTTGTAAAACACAACAAGTCTTATTTGGAAGAAATCATTGCAATCATATATAGTCAAATTGTTAATTACAATATTAAATTCAATTTGGAATTGAAGGCAGTATATATATTGTACGAGTATTAAACTATTAATTAATAGAAAATGTACTCAACGTTTTAGAAGAAAGACGATCAAATAAAAAATACAGTATGTTCACCTGCATGACTAACACCCTCCCCTCCCTCTGTGAAAAGCGGCGGTAACCTAGCGTCGTCTAGGGCTTGCTTTGGCGGGCGGCGGTGAAGTTTCACGGCGAGGGAGTCCCGAAGTGTGGCCAACGAGTGTTTGGGGAACGGAAAGCACAGGGTGTGAGACTGGGCGTTAATTTCGAAGGATATCTCGGAATTCGGTATTAATCGTATCGAAGGCGAGTGCTTTGGGTGAATACTCCCGATTAAGTCTAGCGAGGTGTGACGGTGCAGAGCTCCAATGTAGGGATTTCAAGCAGGGATTTTTCAGATTCGTTTTGTGACCGATGTAAAACAATTTTTGGTGGGCAAATCAGTTTGTGGCGAGCGTGCTGTGCGATTAAGGAGGTGTTGCACTAATTTTCTAGGCTTGAGGCGGAAGATACCCACGTATCTATTGTTGTTCTCCAGTTTGGTGTCGATGGCTTTTAGGGGTTTCGAAGGTGATCGTGGATTTGCGGCGGCTAGGGTTGCGAGACCCAAGTCTCCGATGCTTGGATTAGTTATGTTGGCTCTGATGGTGATTGGGTTGGGAGTTGTACCAACTGTGTTTGATCCGGGTGGAACGCTGACGGTTCGGATACTAGTTAAAGGGGGCGGATTTGGGCTCCAATCGGCTATTGGGGGATCGGTGTGGTTGCTTTGGCCACCTCCGACGGTGGAGGAAGAAGATGGTATGTGGATGATTCGTCCCCCTCCCGAACTGCCGCCACTGAGGAAGTGTGTGACTAGGCTCTGGAATACAATACTTGAAGAATGAATGGACTCCATTCTTCTACAAGCTGAAGTTTAATTATTTTTACTATGTTCTGCTTGCAAGTCTTTATTTTATTCTTATTAAGCCAAATAAGAAGAATGGTAGGCTCTTAGTTTGTTTTTTCTTAGGTGTTAGATTCCTATTGAGAGGCCATGAGGCTGATGCATACACTTATAGCCTCAAAGCTCCCACATTTTCAGCGATAGTCTCGCTCTGTTTGGGGTGGATTATTCTATGTCTTATAACGAAGTGAGGGGGCGGTGGGCTTAAGGGTAGGTTGGTTTAGAGGGAGGTTAGTGCTGGATAATTACTTTATGACTTGCAATTTTCCTGGTTGTACTGCGAATTTGAATTAATATAATGGGTCAGTTTTTCTTTTAAAAAAAATGCAGTCAACGTTTCAGAAAAATTGTCATTTTCTAGACCAATTGTGTGTAACTATTTTTATGATGGACTTTTTCCTATTTTTAGACAATTAATGTACTTAGTTCAAAACAATAAAAGCAAATGTAATAACACCATACACAATATATATATATATATATATATATATATATATATGTATATATAACACATATATATATAGATATTTCAACTGAAAATGTTGTAGAGTAAAGATATTTTCACTTCGACGTCTTCTATGTCTTATAACGAAGTGAGGGGGCAGTGGGCTTAAGGGTAGGTTGGTTTAGAGGGAGGTTAGTGTTGGATAATTACTTTATGACTTGCAATTTTCTTGGTTGTACTGCGAATTTGATTTAATATAATGGGTCAGTTTTTCTTTTCAAAAAAATGTAGTCAACGTTTCAGAAAAATTGTCATTTTCTAGACCAATTGTGTGTAACTATTTTTATGATGGACTATTTCCTATTTTTAGACAATTAATGTACTTAGTTCGAAACAATAAAAGCAAATGTAATAACACCATACACAATGTATATATATATATACATTTGCTTTTATTGTTTCGAACTAAGTACATTAATTGTCTAAAAATAGGAAAAAGTCCATCATAAAAATAGTTACACACAATTGGTCTAGAAAATGACAATTTTTCTGAAACGTTGACTACATTTTTTTGACTATATATATAACACATATATATAGATATTTCAACAAAAAATGTTGTAGAGTAAAGATATTTTCACTTTGACATGTTTTAGTCACAAAATTGACTTTTTTTGGGAAGAAGAGAACTTAAATTGATATCACAACATTCAGCGGATAGGGAGTAAAACGACAAAAGGACTACATGCAACTGTCATCCCTCAAACCAGACTTAGAGTCAACCACCTTCAAAAAAATAATATAACTTGTTGATCCAATAATAGGCATAAATGAGCCAATGACAGTTGAAACAAATCTCTCATCACCCAATCCTAATGAAAGAGTCTTACAATAATAAAAGTAACCAACAGAAAAATAAACAGTCTAATAATGAAAAAGAAATCACAAGCAAACAGTAAAATTCAAAAGCTGCTTCCAAAACATAAACTCTCATGTACTCCATAGCAGCAGTTTAGGAGGGGGACGATCCAACATTACTGTAGCTTCTTCCCCACCTCCTCCTATTCATCATGTTCTCTACCGAGTCTCCTTTGTCGCCACCTAACACAGATGACATCGAATCCAGATTTGTTCCAACCTCTAGCCCCTCGCTACGTCCATGACCTTTGATCACCGGAGACCAAGCATATGTCTTCTGTCCCTGCACAACCTTCGGCCTACGGAGATTGTTGGGTTAATGGCCCAACCAGGGGTCGACCCATTACCCCCTTAAATAAAGGTCCACCAGACGTTCGTCTAAGGCTCCAAGCCCGCCAGGGGCAGCTATCCACAAAACAACCCACAACATCATATTTGTGATGTTTTTACTAGAAAACCCATTTTTCATCTATGTGTATGACATTCTGAAAGTTTATAAAAATTGGTTTTGTTGGATTTGATGTGTCTACCTGCCTATAACAGAAATTCAGTCTTGACAACCTGTTTGTGTCACATAGCAAAGGCTTTATAGCATTAATGTGACTTCTGAGAATACCTCTATGAAAAAGCCTGTGAATGGTTGACCTTGACAATGAAGAGGCAGAGGAGAGTGCCCTTATGTTGGTCCTTTTATGGAGAGGGATTTCTGGAATATGACTAACATCAAACATGACTCTTTTTCTGCCTGAGTCTCTCACCCTCTTTGTACTTACATCTACAGCATCCCCCTTTTCAAGTTGCTATTTTGGCTGTGTTCGAAATGTTGAAAATAGTTCTTCTAGTCACTGAGTATTTAGTGGCTAGCTTAGAAAACACACCTCTGTGAGCTAGTAATGCCCCATAAAAATCTCTTTTAGAAGTGATTAGCATTTCATCTACTATGCTCTCTCTTTCCTTGTTTCCTAATCTTTTTGCTATGATATTTGAGCTTGGGTCGTGTGTTTTTGTTTGCAAATCTGTAGAAGAGCCCAATGAAGATGAAGGCAGATCTTCATTTGTGGAAGGTGAAGAAGCAATTAATGGAGATGAAGCCAAATCTTCATTTATGGAAGGTGCTGAAGCAGTTAATGGAGACGAAGCCAAATCTTCATTTATGGAAGGTGTAGAAGAGGAAGAAGAAGACTGTGCAGCATTTATGTTGGCTGCCATAAATGTAGTCTGCATGTGGTCTAGTGTGTTGTGTGCGATGTGTGTAGTAAACTCTTCTTTTATAAAGTGTATTTATAGATGGTAAAAAGGGAGAATTTTGGAGGGAAGTTTTTATGTAAGTAGGGTTTCCAAAACAGTCTGGATTGTATCCTATGCGCAGGGAATTATCCCTTGTTTTACAGCTATCACATCAAATTTAGCTTTTTTGTACTTGCAGTAATTTTTTTACCCCCTTCCCTTTCGGCCGCCTCTTTATTTATTATAGGGGTATACATGGAAAGTCAATGCCATTTATCACTTGCATTAAACTCCGATCCGAGTCAAAGTGAGAAGAATTTTCCGGAACGGAGGGAGTACTATTTATACTACCCAGGGGCAGGTGGGTATGCTGGCGTGGAGAGCTGTGGGTGGATAGACTCCCAACCACCTAATCTCCAGCATTAAATGTGCTTCCCGTTAGAATCTTGGTTTCCCGCCAAACGTTGGGGATGGGCGTCCCCCTGGGCATTGGGCCTTCTCTTGGTGTAGGATAAGGGCCAAGAGCCGAACGTATTCAGCGTGTTGCTTAGTTGTAGTTGCCATAATATACTGGCTAGTCTTCGTGGCAAGGTTCCCGATGCCGAGCATCCTCTTCCTGAGACGTACAAGATACTACATAGGCCTACAAGAGCAGGATCCACATAGAGTATGCAAATCCTAAAGATTCATAACTAAAGTTATGTCACTAGGAGCAGTTGGTAGGCCTCTATTTTCATATAATGATGATGTTATCTGGGGTGGAAAAATTGGTATTTTCCCATTTGTTGAGAAAGTGGCAGTTAAAAGTAGGGCTGGACTCGGGCCGGTTCGGGCCCGGCCGGGCCTCGGGCCAGAAAACTGGGGCCCGAGCCCGAACCGCCGGTGGCCGGTTCTGGTTCCGGCCGGTTCCGGGCCAAACCGGGCCGGGTCGGCCGGTTCCAACCGGTCTATTTTTTTTTATTTTGGTTCTCCTATTTAACCCCCTCCCCCTCAACCCCAAACCACCCCAAACCACTTCA